GAGCAGGGCCTTGTCCTGACCCCCTGCGAAGGGCCTCCGTCTGTGTTTGCTCCTCAAATCGCACTGACCCAGAAGGGCTTACAGCCCTGTGGTCCAGCTCCCATTCTGCACAGGAAGAAGTTAACTCAAAAGGGTTTTTAATGTTTAGAGCCTCTTACGCCTGCCCACGTCTGTTCTTACACAAGCCCGCTCTAAGAAGAGTATGGCTGAATGATAATTCCGCGTCTTACACTGGGTTAGAAACCCGGAGCTTACATATAACTGCCAAGTATGATCTCAGTTCTTCATAAGTGTTCAAAACAAAGATGAATATTTTTAAAATGCACATTTTATAGACCCGGATATTTCAGCAGCATGTAAGTAACTTGGTCACAATCACATAACTGAGGGTCAACTCATAAGAACTGAAACCTTAATTCCCCCACCTGGGCCATTCCAATTTCGAGTTTTCTATTACACCTTTTCTTCTAAGTCACGTTCTATCTCCAAAGCCTATGACAAGCCATGTGTATATGAGAGGGTGTGTGTGTGTGTGTGTGTGTGTGTGTGTGTGTGGTGTAGATGAATGTGTGTGTGTATGTGTGTGTGTGGTGTATATGAGTTTGTGTATGTATATGTGTGGTATATATGAGTGTGTGTGTATGTATGTGTGTGTAGTGTATATGAGTGTGTGTATGTATGCGTGGTGCATATGTGAGTGTGTGTGTGTGTGTTATGTTTATGAAACAGGAAAATGACAAGAAAATAAAATGCTAAGAGCAGCTGGACAGCGCAGTGACAAGTGGCACCATCAGCAAGAAAGACCTTTCCTCTCCTCCCGAGACCAGCTCCCAGCGTCCAGGGCTCTCAGAGGGTCTCCCTGCCTGTCTCCTCTCGGGGTCTCACTCAGGCCATTTCCTCTGCGCCCACCATGCAGGTCAGGGCTCTGCTTGTGTACCTATAAGTCAACCACCCCAGAGGCAGCCCTGCCCAGCACCTGAGCCTTCTCTGGAAGTTGGAGGGGGGCCAGGGAATAGCAAGGGGCCCTCGCACTCTCCTCATCCTTAATGATGGAGAGATAGGATCACCTCTCGGCTGCCTGGACCTAATTACTGCCCGCCCGCTCAGAGTTTCGGTTGCTGACTAAGGGCACTCCTCCCTGGCTGAGGCTCCCATCAGGACGCCTGTTGAAACTTGCTACAGAGGACGGATTAAGGTCAGTGCAGAGGCCGGGGTCCCACCCGTCTAAACTCTTAGCACAAGATCAGAAACAAGCCAGACTTTTCAAACTGCCCTGTTTTGAAACTCTGCCCTCCTGCATCCCTGCCCAGATGGAGAAGGCAGAGGCCCACCCAGCTCACCCAGTCCTCAGGGTCTCCAACCCAAATTGTTTCTCCAAACCCCTCTCGCATGAGTAGTCTTCCCTTCTCCCCAGCCAGAAGACTCTCCGAAACTTGAGCTCAGGACTGTGAACCCACATCCAAAGCTAGAACCTTCCCAACTTGAACTTAGCACCTTGGGTCATGGTTTGGCTTTCACAATCCCTTTTCCATTTCCATCTCCTCCCCAGGTCAACATCATTTGGAATCACCCCAGAATTCATCTAAAGGAACAAACTAGCAAATAGACAAGATCATAACAGCGTGTGGTAATCATTCGGAAGAAAACAAATAGAATGATGTGTAAAGATTGACTGCAGGGGTGGGATGGTGCCTCCTTCGCCACAATAGGACAAGAAAGACCACTTCCTGGAGCAGCCCTATGCACGTTCCGCGGCCTGCATGGATGCCATTCTCAACCACTAACCTCCACCACCCTGCAGCACGCCCTCTCTCACTCCTGCCTTTTCTCCACAGCTCCTGTAACTCTTCCATATGCTTTATTTGTTTTTTGGCTTGTTGTTAGTCTATCCAACTATAACATAAGCTCCACGAGGGCAGGCAATTTGTATGTTCTGCTCACCGCTACATCCGTAACAAGAACAGAATTTGGCAAACAGCAAGGGCTTAATAAATACATGTTGGATACATTAAAGTGGCCTCCATGTTTCCCTGGCTAGATGAGCATGAGCCATTGGTGCAGAAGGGACCGACTTTCCAAAATACCCAGCTGTTCTCAGAGAAGGCTTGGGCAGAGCCATCTCTCTGGTCTTCCAGAACCAAGAGAAACGTTCCCTTCTTGGGGAGACCCGAGGGGCCCGCCTACCTGAAGCAGTGCCCCTTCAGGTACAGTTGTTAGGTATCACACCATCAAGTTTATTCCCTTCCTAATCCCACCACTCTCTGTAATGACTTGCTTATTGGTGTATTTCTGCCTCCCCCACTAGTGTAAGCTCCATGAGGGATCTTTGTCTCTGTCATTCACCTCCCTCCTCCGGATGCCTAGCATGTGGTTGGTGTTTAATGAATATTCTCTTGAAGAAATAAATAGAGGAGCCTCTACTTATTCAATTCTATCAATCTTTACCCACTGCAGTGGGGTTTGAGATCTCTCTTCAAACACACTCACATATTCACACACGTGCACACTCATACTCACATATTCACACACACTCAAAAACGCACTGACCCTGGTGGCAACCTTCCCATCCTGCTCAACCTCACACATGCCTTTGCCACTTTTAACCTGCCCTCTGGTAGAAACCTTCTCCTTCCTCTGTGTCCCTGGGAACCTCTGGGACCTTTCTCTCCCCTCTGACCAATAGTCTCTGCCAGTTCTTCTACACCAGCTGAACCCTCGCCATTCTTCAGTGCAAGGTCCAAACATTAGGTCTTTGAAGTGTTTGCAGGTCCTTGGCATCTCACCCCTTTCTCAGGGCGCCCATTGATTATCTCATTAGTGGAATACTGGCCATGCTGTGTTTTGTTGTTGTTGTTGTTATTTTGTGCTTCTGCCTCCCAGGTAGACTGTGGCGTCTTCTTGAAGACAGAGATCTTGTCTTATTCGCTATTGTATTCCTAAGGCTGAGCAGCACATACACACAGCAGGTGCTCAGTACATGTCAGTGGGATTGCTTGGGAGATCTGGCCCTTTATTACCTGATCTTTTAGCTCTATGACTCTCTCTAGTCCCTTTAATTGCTACTCCCCCTGTTACCTCTTAAATGTAATCACTTCCTAAATTTCCACTTACAAACCTCTCCTGCTATTTCTCCACACTCTTTCCCATAGAAATGCCAGGATTTAACATAGGTTTTCAATTCCCAGCACACAGGAAGCCCTACCACATTGGGTCTCTTCCATAACCCTGAAGCCAGCCCTGCCATTGACCTCATGAGCCTCTACCCAGCCAGGCATTATCTATGGACAGACCTACCTCCTTAAAGGGCCTCTGAAGAACGACGATTCTGGCACTCAACACACACCCCCAATGCAACAGAAACGGGGCAGGTTTCTGCCTTATGCCAGGACATTACCTTAAGAAGTGAGTACTTCAGACTCTTGGGGCTGGTGCTCTTTGGGATGCATCCTCTGAAAGTAGGAAGGATGGAACTGAAGGAAATTCAGTCCAGGGGCCACTGGGCCTCCTCAGCCTGTGGAGTTGGATTTTAGTGAGTGATTCCAATGAGGGCAGTGTTTCTGTGAAAGCATTAAGTCACACAACTAGGAGACAACAGCAAAGCCTGTAAATGTAATGTAACCACCAAGCACGTGGGACCATTCTCTTACAGCCCAGTTCTCAGAACTGCGACAGCTCTGCATGGGCGATCGCAGGGGAAAATCCACAGGTACCGTTCTAGGGTAACCACACTCAGGCTGCTAAACTCCCAACAACAGCACAACATTAGCTCTCACATGTTCCCCCTGAGCCTGAATGGGTGCTTCCCTAAGTCCGAGTCCTTAATTAAAAGGTATAGCAACACCTGCATTTTTAACCCCATACCCATCCCCCAGGGAATGTCCAAAGCCAGTTGGCAAGATTTAAGGGAAAATGCACCAGAATTTGAATCATAACACCCTCATTTGTGGACTTTAGCAACAAACATTTATTGAAGTCATTCTCTGTGCCAGGCCCTTTACCAGACCCTGGGGAGAAAGAAGAAAACAGAACAGACATGGATGTTGGACACATTCCTTCAAACTTGTGGGCCTCTGCTTGTTCATTAAAAATGGAGAAATGGCTACCCCTCAGAGGAGGTGGGAGGAACTTATGAGATAGTGTGTGTAATCAGAGAACTATTTATATTATCATCACTATTATTAATAAAGCAACATGGCAACAATACATGTGAAAAGCCATGCAATTATTTCAACTCTTGATCCCAATATTTATGCTAATAAATGTATCCTAAGGAAAAACCCAAACACAAAGATATATATGAAGGAAAGAGATAGGAAGAAAATCAAGCACCTACTAAGTATATACATTTTGCCAAGCACTGGGTGAAATACCTAACACTTGTTAATTCATTAAAATAATCAAAGGAAAAACAAAACAATATAAGCAACCTAAATATTCATAATGAATGGAATATTTCACAGTCATTTAAAGTAATTATAAAGACTATGTAGCAACATAGAAATGTGCATGACATCATGGTAGGTGAGGAAAGTAGGTCACAGAATGTAGGAATGCAGATGATGGTTGCAGCTATGTGAGGTTCTCAGGCCGGAGCACAAGCCACATGAACAACAAGGCTTGCTCTAGAATGATGGGCTTATGAAGGAGACATTTGCCCAATTGTTTGCAGTGTTGTGTTACCAGGTATACCGGTTAATAATGCGGGTTTTTCTCAGGAGATGGAGTTACACATATGTTGATATTTATGCAATTTGATATGTATGCTATTTTGTTGTATTGCTCCTTCAGATGACCACTTGTTCCGATCGATGGCACACGCACTTTCTGAGCAGCACTTCAAAACATACGAAGAAGTGGAAAATTGGGTCTCTGGATGGTTTGTCTCAAAACAAGAAAAGTTCTATTAGAACGGTATCCACAAATTACCTGAAAGATGGGGGAAGTGAGTAGCTAGCAATGGACATTACTTTGAATGAAGCACTTTTGATGTTTCTCTTGAGATGATCGTGTTTTCTTTGATTATAAAATCCGCATTAGTAACCGTTGCACGTGGTATTGTTTTATTGTTTTTATGGGCGTCCTTTTCTCGAGGTGCTCTATTTGCAGGTTATGTCCATTTTGAGAGGGGAAGACTAAGATATTTTCATGCTTGAGAGTCTTGAGAAGTAGCAAGTATCAGAAGTATTGGTTGCATTCAATTTATTGCTACTTCCTGAGAAATAACTGGAAGAGTTTACATTTAGCCTTTCGGTTATTCGTAGCAAGCCTTCAGAAACGAAGGTACTAATATGGCAGTGCCCACTAGCACTACCGACAACTGGAGGACTTTAGGTTCCTCGATGGTCACAAGCACTGGCTAACTTCTCATGCATCATCTGTCCTCTTATTCTGCCACCCACCTGTCTATCCATTTGATGATTTACTCACTGTCCACCTGCTTATCCACCCACCCACCCACCCTTGGAAAGGCATCATCACAAAACTTCCCCATAAGAATTAGGACTTAATTAAAATGCTCCGATTCTTTAGCTGACTGTTAGTATGAAAAGTCAAGGTCCAGGGTTCCCAAATGGGGCCAATGATGCAATAGAACAGGACTCAGGAGACGTGCTTCTCATCTCATCCCAGTCCCTGATGGGCTGTTCTATAGCTGGTTCAACAACTGGGCAGGCTCCCAAGGCCCATCCTAGGAACAAAGGGCCCCAGGAATCGGGTCACATTGGTCACCAGGGTCCTCCCTGTCCCAGGAGCACCCAGCTCACTGGGTGGCTGGAGCAGGCATTCCTGGCATTCGCCACCTAAATCTGTCACACACTGGCCCTGGAGGTGGAGTGGGAGAGGCTGTGCAGCCATGTACTTGCTAAGCTGCCAGCTGAAAACCTGTTTTAATCAATCAAATAATAGGCCCTTGTTACATAAGCCTTGATTATGATGACCTTCTCAATCAAGCATTAATTGGGGTTGATGAGGACAGTGTATCCTGGACTGCTCAGCCTTGCATCAGACTACTTACAGTCCTAATCCCCAATGAGGTTAGCTGGGGCAACTGAGACACCGCCAGCTGGGCAACCCGGATGTGTTCACAGAACAAACTAAGAATTTTCTGATTGTGTGTTTCACGTGAGGTCCAGTGCCAGAGCCCGGGAATGCAGGGTCAAACCAAGCACACTTCCTGCCTCTGAGGAGCACATAGTTCAGTGGAGAAAACAAGCCCTAAAGGAGAGATCACCGTGTGGAAGGGGCCATGACAGCAGTAAGGACATGGTGCAGGGAGAGGAGGAGCAGCCACATCTGTGTGGGCTTCAGGGAAGGGGCGCTGGCATGGGGCCGGCCAGCACACAGAGACACGGCCAGTCTTTGCTAGGTAAACCCAAGAAGCAGCGAGGGGAGCGAGGGAGGGGGCCCTCCACAGTCCTGGGTCTGAGGCAGCAGCTGCCCTCTTCAACAGTGCAACTCAGATTTGGAAATGTGAGCCACGGAAGGACCTTCTGGGGGTCCTGGAACACACTTTAAGCCTTCATACGTCTAGATCACTGCCCTAATTCCTCTTGTATGGAATACCTCTTCTTCTCCCACCTGACCCCAAAGCCTCCCAACCTACTGCAATGCCTGGATCACTGGATCCTCCAGGTCCAACTCTCAGGCTCCCTCTTCTGGGAAGCCTTTCTGCAGCAGCTCATCCCCAGAGTCACTTCCACATCTCCCTCTGCTCTTCAATGTGTGTTAGCTTGTTTGTTTTGTGTGTGGTGTTTTTTGTTGTTGTTTTATTTGTGTGTGTGTTTTGTTTTGTTTATTTTTGTTGTTGTTGTTAATCCTCCCTTGAGGATATTTTTCCATTGATCTTTAGGGAGTGTGGAAGAGAAAGGGAAAGTCAGAGAGAGAAACATCGATGTGAGAGAAACACAACAATTGGTTGCCTTCTGCACGAGCCTCGACCAGGACCTGAAACCGAGGTACGTGCCCTTGACCCAGAATCGAACCCAGGTCTCTTTGGTCTGCAGGCGCATGCTCTATCCACTGAGCCAAACCAGCTAGGGCTCTCCCAGTGTTTTGTATCTAACTCTAGGACCACATTTAACAGGTGGCAATCCAGTAAGTGTGTGGATCCTGTCTCCATCAACCTTCATCTTTACATCCCCAGAAGCCAGCACATTGCCTGGCACACAGTAGGTATTCAACATTTGGTTGTTGAGAGACTAACTACTCCCAGGACTGACTCACACTCAGGTGCTCCAGAAGCACCATCCAAAACCACTTCCTGCAGGGCCAAGCTTGTTGTCACGGCAGGAGACTTGGAGAATTCAGCCAGCTCCCTAACCACTAAGCCACAGACCAGCTTCCACCTCCAGCACCTCCCTTATTATCTGATGTTTACAGGAAACCTGGAGCCCATAGCAATCAGACACTCCACACATACTGATTGTGCACTCTCTGTACACAAGGTACCATAGCACCAGGACCCTTCAGTGGCAGGAAAAGAAGTGGGTGTAACTCACTAGCCATCAAAATAAAGTTGTTTATTTTTTATTAATGGAAAAAAATGATCTGATTTATATTGTCCTCATTATACTTCCCCAATTTCCCCATAGTGGGCTTATCTTATTTGGGTAGCTAGATTTTCATTTAAAACAACTTTTTTGTTGTTGTTAATCCTCATCCAAAGATTTTTCCCCCATTAATTTTTAGAAAGAGTGGAAGGGAGGGGGAGAAACAGAGAGAGAAACATCACTGTGAGAGAGACAAATCGGTCATTTTCCTCAGATCGAGCCTGCAACTGAGGTAGGTGCCCTTGGCCAGAATCGAACCCAGGACCCTTTAGTCCAAAGGCTGATTCTCTATCCACTGAGCCAAGCCAGGGCTAAAACAACTTCTAGGACAATCTGAGTAGGAGTAGCAAAGATTTAGGCACATAAACACTGACTAATATTATTGATAAATTACCAATAGGATTCAGTTTGCCATATACCTAATTAGTCATTACTCATGAATGGGGAAGCAAGGAGACCCTCTCTGAAGTCTAGCTTCTTTGCAATCTTTCTTGCCTATCCCCCCATTTATGGTTGGTGCCCTGTAAGGGCCTCCCTGCTGTACACCCAGCTCAACACTAGGTGGCAGCCTAACCACAGACCCTTGCTAAATTAGCCCAGCCCTCTGCCTGGCTCAACACCAAGGCCCCGGGCTTCAAGTGGGTTACCTGGTGCCAGGTATGTCTCATGATCCACCCTATTTTACAGCTGGGACCCAAAAGCTTCCTGCTGCCAAGTACAGACAGTAACCATGGAGACAAGAAGAGGTTTGGGCGAGGTCCCCAGTCAGTGCTTCTGCAGCCCAGGCTACCTTTCTAACACAAAGGTCCAACACAGCCCTGAAGTGAGGGAGGAGCTGAGACCCGGGTGGCAGCTGAGCGGCTTGGCATGGCAGCCTTTCAGGCCACAGGCTACTCTGCCAACAGGACCTGGAGTTCCCTGTGGCCCTGAGGCCCCTCTAGGATCCCATCAAGCCTAGTGACACAGACTTTCTACTTCAGCTTTTCTCTCTATTCACTCCTTCCCCTCAATATAACAGCCTGATCAAGCCTTCTCCATCTGAAAACAATTCTGGTCTCTCGCTACACCATTCTTCTCTGGGCCTTCCCTTCTCGGCCAAACTTACTGGAAAAGTTCCCTCACTCTCTCTCCCCTCATCACCGCCCACTCACTCCTCAACCCACTGTGTTCTGACTTCTCCTCCTGTCCTTCAGCATTTGTTGTGTCTGGGGCCTGCCCTGCTCCCACGGCCAACCCCGGACCCTTTCTGCCTTCCTCTCATGGCATCTCTTTGACACAGGCCACACTGGCATCCTCTCCTTGGTCCAACTTTCTGTTCTTCTCCATCCCTCTTTAAAATGATCTTCTTGGTCCATTTCATGCACTTCCCTCAAACCCAACACTCTTAACTCTTTACCTGGGACATATATCCTGATGATCTCCCAATCTCCACCTTAGGGCCTGGCACCCCCTCAGCTCCAAAGCCCCATCGCCAGATGATTCAACATGCCCAGGACTGAACTCAATTCTGTCCCCAGGTCTAATGTACTTTGGTCCCTCCTTCTGTTTTCTGTCTCCATGAAGAAAATCACCAGCAACCCAGTGGCCAAGGCAGACCATGGACAGTCATCATTTACTCCTCCATGTCCCACCCACATCCCCTTGCTGGCCATGTCCTGCCACAACTACCTCCTCGGTGCCTCTGAAATTCCTCCTGTCTCCAGCACCCATCACCACAATCACCACCACCTTGGCCCCAGAGCAGGTCCTCATCTTCCCTTCCTGAACACTGGACTCGGTCTCCCCGCTTCCACTCCTGCCCCCCACTACTGCATTCTGATCACTGGTCAGTTCCCTTTATAAAATGCAGAGAAAACGAGTCATTTCTATGCTCAGAACCCTTTGGGGCCCTGAGAGTAGCATCCAAATGCTATTGCATGGCCCAGAAGAACCTTTAGGACTTGGCTCCACCTGCCTTCTCCAGCCGCATAGCAGAGTCCACCCCCCTCTCGGCCCCAAAAAGTGTCCCTGGGCACCCATGCCATCACCTTCTACTATACCTCTGTCTGCACTACCTCTTCGGTCTTCTTTTTTTCCACTGAGACCCTGTTAAGAACTGTCAACTTTCACCCCAATTCTGTACTGGGTGCCCCTTCTCTGTGTTACCTTGATCAAAAGTGTGGTCACATGTCCACTGAACTCTGAGCTACAGGCAGAGAACTGTGTGTTTTTGGTCTTCGCGTCCCTGGCACCAAGTTCATTGCCTGGCACAGAGAACGGGTTAAACAAGTGTTTGTTGGATGGGTCGATGAATGGATGGGAAAATGAAACGTGATAGTCTGGGAAGAGCTCCCTGCTCACTCAGAGGTGGCCTAGTATTTAAATTCCTCATCTCAATCCCAAGCCCCTGGCACCCATTCCATGAAGCCAGACCTTCAGAATGACACAAAATAGCGCAGCTGAATGCTTTTCCTGGCACGGGGAGGGGAGGGGGGAGTGTCCCACTAAAAAGTTCAGGCACTGAGTAGAATGCAGCCACTGCAGGGCTCCAACTCTGCTCTCACTTCTGCCAGAGGGATGCTCCTGCCGGACCAGGGAGATAGAGCAATGCAGGTGAGCACTTGGCCAGAAGGGAGGTCTGAGCATCATGTCAGCCTAGGGCTATGGTCAGCGAACTGCGGCTCATGAACCACACGCAGCTCTTTGGCCCCTGGAGTGTGGCTCTTCCACAAAACACCACGGCCCGGGCGAGTCTATTTTGAAGAAGTGGCATTAAAAGTTTAAGTTTAAAAAATTTGGCGCTCAAAAGAAATTTCAATTGTTGTACTGCTGATATTTGGCTTGGTTGACTAATGAGTTTGCCGACCACTGGCTAGGGGGCGTCTAGAACAAGAGCACAGAAAGCAGGGCCTCTACAGATGATGCACATGAGATGCAAACACATGAACAAGTCTTCAGGACACGGAGTTATGGGGACGCAATGTGGCTCAATAGCACTGCCAGTGCTGCCATACTTGGTGGAGCCTGTTTTACAGCCTGTCTTTGCCCATGCTCTCCCAACACACAGCCTTTTAAAGTCTCAGCCATCCTTCAAGACCAAGTGCAGATGCTATTCTGTGAAGCTGCCCCACAGGCACACACATCCAGTCTGAATAAACCATTATCTTTCCTATACTTCTGTAGTACATTGTACATATTTCTTTTACAACACTGATCTCAGCTTCTCTTTCATTTGTATAGCTGTCTTTTTCTATGTCCCTGACATAAGTTACAAATGCCTGGCAAGAAAGAACTAGGTTTAATCCATGTCTGCATACATATGGTTCTAGCCTTGCGTTCTAGGCATGTGATGGGTGCCCATTTAATTAAATAAAAATTTCAGAGCATTTCAAAACGCAATACAGAAAATGAGGTTCATAAGTTCAAAGTAGATGAAGAAAATAGGAGTGATCACACGGGTGGGGCTCATTGGGAAGACTTCCTGGGGGAGGTGTGGCTGGAGGAAGCTACAACTTTGACTTCAGGGAGGAAAAGGCCAGGCTACCCTCCTTTCTTACCACCCTTTCCTCCCCACCCAGTACAGATAGTGGCAGGATGTAGAGTGGCCAGAAATTCGAGTCTCTGGCTGTCTATCCCAGCTTAGTCACTTACTAGCTCTGCAGTCTTCGGCTGACCACTTCACCCATCCGGTCTCAGTTTCCTCCCCTGTAAAATAGGACAATAATAGTCCCTACCTCACTAGATTGTGTGAGGATGAAAAGAGTTAATCTATGTAAAACTCTTACTAGGTGCCAACAGCTAATCGCAACACGTTATATAGATTAACTCATTTAATCCTCACTCAGCCCAGGAAGGTTGGTACAAATATTATCCTGACTTTTCAGGGGAAGAAACAGCCTCGGAGAGCACAGTGTGGGGAGATCATTCACATTTCTACCCCAAATGTCAAACATTCTCCAAACATGACCAACGTGGACCTATCCACCCCAAAACACCCAACTCGTTCCCTGAAGAAGCAGAACCACAATCATAGCTCAAAATAATCAACCTTTGCTTTGTTATCATTCATAAACACTTGCTATACCCTTTCCCTTTGGATCCTCACTACATCTTGGAAAGAGCCATCAGCACCCCTGCTTTTCAAATGAGCCCTGAGGTGCAAAGGGGGTGAGACTTGTGTCCCAGGGCTCCATCCGAGCAACCTCCAGCCCAGAGCTGGGCCACAGGGCATCGGGCCTTAGGCAGCAGCCCATACCCTCCTCTTCCTCACACCCCCTTCGGGGGCTCACCAGCTTGCATCCCAGATGAACCCACACCAGCCTCTTTGGCTGCAGGAGCCTCACTCATAGCGTCAAGAAGGTTGGAGAGTTTATAATAAAATGTCCAAGACCCCAGGGTCTAGAGGTGACAGGAAAGAAAAAGGACACAATAACCAGAGATAAAGAAAAAGTTGTTTTAAAGTAATTTGCGAAATAAAGTTGTTTCGTTTGGAAGACGGCAATTTTGCATCGCTATTAAAAAGTGTGGACAAAGAAAATGAATGAAAAATGATCTGAAAAGTAAAATGGCCAATAAACACTTGGAGGGAAAAGCAATGTTCTTTTCACAGCACAGAGAGTTTGGCACTCAGGTGCCCTCAAATAAAGCGGGGACTTGAGACCATCCGAGAGAGTCATTTGGTTTCCGGCATGTGAGGGCATGAACATGATTGACGTTCTTTGAATCCACCATTTCTAGATATTTACGAAAAAATTTATAAATAGGCACAAAATTATGTTTAAGGATATTCATGTTGTGTGTTTTGTAAAAGGCACCCTAAATAGCGAAGAGGGTGATGATCAAGTAACAGCACCTTCATTCAGTGAAATTTTTTGCTATTTAATGACCTTAAAAGGGATAATTGTGAAAATCAGGAGAATAAAGTAGACTGTATATAAAATAATCCCCATATTATAGAAAAATGTCTGTATATGGGGACACTATAATGATGTGATGAAAAGCCCAGGTTTCAGAGCTAAAGAATTTCCCCTGACACATTTTTCCCCCCACTTGAGACACGGAGTATATTTGCAGGGGGTTAGGGAATCAGTGGAATAAGAGACACAAAATTAAGGAAAGACTGGGTGTTACAGGCGCCTACAACTCCCCAGCCTGATCCTCAAAATACATAGACTCTGTGCCTGTCCTTCACAAGTTCCGTGACCTTGGGCAAGTCACTTCACTCTTCTGTCCCTTGTTTTCCGTATCTGAATGTAGACATACAAATGGTACCTACCTCACTGATGCTACGAGGACTGAATGAGTTAATAACTCAATATAGTAAGTTGTATAAAGTTATATGTGTTAGCCACTAAGAGCATTACTTATGTATACACATAGTAATGGAAGGATAGACACAAATGATTGTTTCTATGGGTGGGCATGTTTATTCTTCCTCTTGATATCGTAATTTTCTAAATTTTCTTTCATGCACCTGTAGTACTTTTAATAAGAAAAAATATATATTGTTTTGGGAGAGAGACAAGGGCTAAAAGTCCAGACCAAGGCACAAGGTACTGATGATTTATTAGAAAATTGGAGGGAGGGTGGGGGTGGGGGGAGTACCCTAGACCATGAAAACTAAAAAGAGCACCAGCTGTGTGCTGGCTAACTTAATGTGTGCACAGTCAGCAGTGGCTGAGACCAAGTGGGTCCTCAGTGCCTTCATCACTAAGTGAACTGACTGCATCGCACTCACTAACAGGTCCCTTTCAGGCCGGATGGACTGTCGCCACTTCCTCAGCAGCGTCTTCTAAGTGTCCGTGGTCAGGGCATTCATGTCACCTGAAATTTACTTCCAGGCCCTGAGTGAAGGTTTAGCTGGTAGACCTCGGCCTCCGTGAGGTTTCCTGGAGCCCCACTCCCACCCCCCTGCCACCATCCAGCCCTCCAGCCCTTGCCCGTGACCAGCTTCCTTTGATGGTCAGAGATACAGGCCCAGTAGTCAGGCCCACACCGGTGTGCATGGAGAAAGGTGACTTCTCTCTAGTCCAGGGGTCTTCAAACTTCTCTCATTATGAGAATCACCTGGTGGAGGTGTTAAAACACAGATTCCTGATAGCACTTCTTATAGTTGGGATCCGGGAATCTGTGTTTTAATAACTCCACCAGGTGATTCTCATAATGAGAGAAGTTTGAAGACCCCTGCTCTAGTCCATGGCTGCCACTTCACCAGCAGATATTGGGGGGGGGGGGGGGGGATAGCACACACATGTGCCCGATCTGTGTTCCTTATATCTCCTTATGCAGCAACAGCTGGCAGGTCCATGGATTCAGGTAACCCTTACAATAACTGCAAAGGCCACCAAGCATCAGAACCTCCCAGTCCAGGGATCAGGGAGTGAAAGCGGGGTCTCACTCTGGTGGGAGGAGTCCTGTCCCATCCCACAGCAGCTCCGTGAGGCTGTTAGCTTTTTGCACCACAAAGGCTGCACAAATTGAAATCATGTCCGTCTGCCTCCTAGATAATTGTGGTATTCCTTTGGATTGATCTGCAAAGCACAGCTCCTAACAATAACCTTTCTACTCATTTGTTCTGAAAGAGTTAATGGTGTAACAACGAACACATGGGT